AAAACAAATAGATGTGATTAAAGAATAAATATATTTAATCATTCAAAAGTTGTTAGAAAGAGTATAAGATATTTATAGATGATATGGGATGAACAATATTTGTTGTTAAGGGATTAACAATATTTTAAATCTGATCATATATACTAGTGCTAGAAATACTCGGCTTTTAACGAACTGATCACGGGTTTGTAACCTAATCCACCTATTTCTGTCTCAACATTCGAACAGTTGCAGTTCCACAAACTATATAGCTCAAGGTAATTTATATAAACATGGGTTAACATTTGAACTCAGTTTGACGGAAATGGGACTTCGCGTATATGGAAGAGAGTAAATGTAGAAATTAAATTTGAATAATTTCAAGGATCGGAATTTAAATAATTCTGACGTTTCGTCTGGCAAACTTACTTTCTTATTCCTCTTAGCTCTTGTGGAGCATAGACCACCAACCAGGATTCTCCAAACAACATAGTTCTGGGCTCTCCTTTACAGTCGTTCACAAGTGCTATTGATTATTTTGAAGCTAGTTCGATTATGTTACCTTGAAGAGACTCGGACTAGTTTGTTGAACGAAACATCAAATTTCAACTATTGTGAGAATTCAATGAAAATTTTTTACGTTAATTACGGCTCAACATCTATTACATGCACACATATTTAGTAAATGGCTTACGTGAGTATACTAAAACAAGAAATAATCGGTAGTTGATCGAAAAGGTAGCTTTTTTTAGAGAAACGGTTTGTAATTACATACATACTTTTCAATGATTAGAACTTTCATGATACAAAAGAGGTTGCTGTTTATGACCTATTCGTTATGTAAATGCCACTTCATCGCCTATAGACTTGAGTAGGTAATCCCGTTCTTGGTATTTACGAGCTAATCTTGATCATTCTTTGTTTCAGTTTGCAGGGCTGTGCAGTATCCGAGCCCTAACACCAATAAAATGATTTGTGTGGCGTATATACATTTCATACTTCTTGTACCATTATTCATGTCTGTAAATAATGAAATAACCGTTGAACCGTTTAGTTTATATCTGTGCTCAGTAGGTTACTTGATAATGCTTTCAGAACTTGGAACTTAAGCCATTGATTTCAAGTGTCGTTATGATCTTCAAAAGTAGAATACAGTTAAATCCGGATAATGGTTTCCAATTTAGTCGAACTGCACACATGTTATTTTACTGATAGCCACAATCTATCTATTTCAAAAAATCTGCATAAGTCACTTATCAAGATCACTTCTTCGCTGCATCTGAGAGCATGATTTGACAAATGGATAACATTGACTAATCAGTATATTAAATACGATAGATTTATGTTGTCATTTATAAGATTTGCTTAGAAATTGTGAACTTGTTCTTTACTGAAGAATGTTTAGATATGAATAATTTAAAACTAAAGTGTATGCAAATAGTTTGTTCAATCGTTCTTTTACTAAGATCATAGTTTTATAATGATATTTATTGCGATTCTGAAAACAAACTGTTATTCCCACTTGAAAAATACAATCAAGAATACTATGGAAATGAGATAAAAGCTAATAATTATGGGAATGAATTGCATCATAAAATAATTAAGGGCGATTCAAAAGTGAAGTTAGCACGAATATTGATATAATTAGGTTAGAAGCGTTGACCATGAAAATTCCTCATAGTTAAGAAAATAATATTTCTGCTGTGTCGGGATAAATATTAAGCAATAGTGAACTTTTAAAACGGTCCCATCTGAACAAACATGGATGATGGCTAATAGTAATAGTGCAATCCAGGACTTGCGTTTCATCCTATATGGGACTCGTCAGTTGGATGTACTTGCATCCCAGAGTTGATGTTCACTTCTATCTAGAGTTATTGTTTATATTTTTATAGTATAATTACTAAATAATTAAACTATTATATCATTGTATTCCTCTATCTGTAAGCTTTTATATTTCGCAAATTATTGTTAATTTATTACGGACCTATTATTCGGTTCTCTTCCACTTATGGAGAATTTATATGCACAATATTATTTAACCCTCTTGATGTATGGTCAAAATTATATGAATAATTCATAAATTTGAACCGAATAATTAGTTGTCTGCTTGTTTATTCTGTCTATATCGGGCGAGCGACCATGGAAACTTGCGTTCTGGAACAATAGTCATTTAGTGTTACTCTCGGGTATAATCTCATACTAGATAAACAGATAAATTAGTTCACAGATGAATAGTTTCGGATTAACTGAATCAATTAGTATTATTATTTAGTAGTGGTATGACATCTTAATTGTCCAACTAAAAACATTCAGTGTTGATTTTCATCTCAATTAGTTCCAGTCTGAAGTCCTTACAAATAATAATTTTTAAGAAGAAATTATGAGAAATGTTGCTCTATTGAATATGAATGAAATTCAGTAGCTTATTAGATAAATATGTTGAATGGTCGAAGCGACATATACCGGGTTCGAACTAAGACAGAATCCATTTATTTTACATAAACTTATAACAAAATGGCTATTTCAAATGTAACCGCACAGGGTACACATATGTCAACTAATAATGACTAAATATCAACAATAGGATAATTCAAACTATTACAAATTAAAATTTGGAAAATGCTATTTGAGTACTTCATATATACATCGTCCATCACTCGTAGGATGACATGTTAGAATAAAAAGAAATCCAGACTTACGTTTTAAAAAATTGATTATCCCCCCACCAGCGTTGATGAACGCTTCGGGACTGAAAATCAATACCAATTGCTTTAATTACCGACGTGTTATTCACTAAGCTACTTAGTTTAGATAATCACTAACTTGCGCAACACTAAATATCATGCTTGTCGAGCAATTTTGTGAGATGTGTTGACTACTTATAAGACGCCTCATTACAATACTGTATTACAACATGTGTTCAACAATCGTTGTTAGGTAGCTTGTATCAGAGAGAATAAAATTAAAGACATATGGAGTATTATGATAAATATGATCAATCATTTTGAAGCGTACAGTTTTTGGGAAGTGATCACTTATACTACTCAAAGTAGTATATCTACACTAGGAAAATTGCTCATCTAGATTCTATCACACTATCTTATAGGTTTCCGGACTTCATTTAATTACTGCCTCACCCGCCTCTATGTTTTTAAACTCCAAATGACCACACACCTATTCTTATATATACAGTTGTGAGTATCTGATGAGAAACCACGAAATATAATTGATCCATATTATTAAACCAATCAGACGATCAGAAAACACGGGTGTTATTAAAACTACCAATGAAAAAGTGCATAGTTGTTAGAACAGAAGTAATGAGAGAAAAACTGAGTGATCTAAATGGCATCTAGATAATCTGTAGTTGCCAGATACTTACCAGAGTTGAATGACAGATTAATATCTGGACTCTAACCTTTAGTGGGGTTGTAAAGATCTTGTAGCAAGGTATGGTAGAACTCAGTGGCTTAATACCAGGGGCATTTACCTATAGCAGCCTAGTGATGTAGGCAATACTAAGATATTAGCTAGAGGTTTAAAAGCGGATACCTAATTATAGTTGATTGGTTTAGACATGAGCCTACTGCTGTGTAGTCGACATGCTGTAGTTGGATCCATTACGTGGCCTATGCAATGTTAGGAAGTACAGAGTCAATTAGTTTTCATATCTTCTCTTAAATCTCTGTTCTTACGAGGTATGTGGTATTGTAATTACAGGTAAATAGGGTAGGCTCCTAGGTAAAGTTTTCATCTTACATTATATAAGAGATAGAAAATTTCGTTGCACATTTGGTTCTTAATCGACTGTTATGAAATCTTGAGCCACCCTTTCCATATGGAAGTTTTACGAATAAACTGTCCTCAGAAATGACCAGTATCAATGTTTCGTCTAATTGATTTGAAACTTCCGAGGATGATTTTCATGAAATGACATTTGTCTATCAAAATTATTCCGTTGTTTACAATCTTATTATCATACGTATTCCAAAAGTATTACTCAATTATTTTAAAGAACCGAGTTCAGATAAGAAATTTTGTACGAGATTGAGCAAAATCTGTTGAGATGTGAATATTAACCCATTCAAGAATTCTGGTATTTTGAATGAACGTAACCCCTAAAACAATTGGCATTCCACTGTGTAACTAGCAATTAAAGATTGTTCGAACTAAGTAGGAGTCAGTCTAACTTGATATCAAGGGCTTTAAATATTTAAGGTTAATCTAAAAACGAGAAATATTTTGACATGTAACTAACTTCCTTAGTAACTATGTACACATCGATTTATTGCGATATGAATCATACCTATAGTATGGGATCTAATGTTTTAGTCAGTTGACCAAACGTAAGAAAAGTGTGAAGTCAAGTTATCAAACCGAAAAATTATTCCCTGAAGAATAGTCAGACTGTAATGCAAGGTGATATAGTTAACTACAATATCATGTAGCGTTGATGAAGCTAGTTAGTTTTCGAACAAATTACCACGAAAAAAATGCATTTTGAATCTGCAGTTTATTGCTCATTTTAAGTTGGTAGAAAATTAGGGATCAGTCGAAGTTGTTAAAGCCATATCAGTAAACTAAGATGAAAGGAACAAGATACATGGCAAATAAGTTGAAGTAATGACACTGCCCATGATTGTGACCGAGGCTAAATCGAATATATCGCTCAACAAGAAGGAACGATTTCGTGGAGTGAAAAGTATGAAATTATATTGAAATTCGAGGCACGGGAAAAAAACAGAAGAATGAATGCAGCCACGCTACTATAACCGATATTGAATCATATCACAGGTCTTTCACTGTTAATCACGATTCTCGTATAGAACCTAACCAGATAGACATGGTCCAACTAAATATTTCAATATGATGGTTAAAATTGACGGACTGACGTTATTTATTATTTTGACAATTTGCACCAATTTTTCATATTTACCTAGCATCTCGTATTTAAAATTTTCCGGTGCAAAACTTCTTGAGTACACTGAGCATCTCGAGGACTAGTTAATAACAAAGTGTTATTAAAACAGAAGCTCAACAATTATTTTCTGAAAAGACGTTAAATAACAAGACTAATGCACACATTTTCAATGAAACTATACAAATAAAATATAGAAAGTGGGCTAGTAAAAGAATTTATCAATAAGGCGTTGATATAAAGAAAGATTTTTTCCTCGTTCTTCACGATCACAAAGAATTCTTCTACATTCCATCAGATCAGCTCCGGTCGCAGCTATGACTGAACTTCCTGGTACAGTGCAACCATCACGAAGAACGGAAGGAGGTCGATAAATATCTCGATAATGGTTATTAAAAATACGAGACAAACTTTGGCATTCTTCTTCCCAAAATTTAGTATCTATTTCTTGTATTGGTTTAGAAAGGAATTCAGTTGCACGACGTTTGATTTCATCTTTTAGAGTCACTTTTCTACCGCAAGTATCAGAAGGCCAATGATCAGCTAACTCTTGAAATTTTGTAAAATATTCCACTGGTGTTGATGAGCTTCCATAGTGACGATTTAGTGACACACAGGTGACTGATTGGAACCTTTGGTAAGCTGTAAGAGCGAATCGATAGTTAATCAGAGGCATTATTTTCCAAGATGCGTTATTATGCAGATGTAAACCAACTAAAGATAAAAAAATAATAATGGTCAAGTATAAATAGAGTATTTCAAAACATCAGGGTAATATTAAGCGATGATTCAAAGGATGTAAGACTACTGCTAGGGAAAATTTTTACTCTTTTGCACTTATATTTTAGTCACATAGAAACTGTATTAGGTCATGGATCTTCAAAATGGTTTACTGTTGGTCAATTAAATTTAAATAAAGCGCACCATAGCTTTCAAGGAAAACGGTAACATAAGAGCTAACTCTTGAGATGAAAACTACTTATCACAATTGCTTTTAACTCAATTCTATTTTCAGTCATCAACAATGTGAAGCCTGGAACACATGTACTATTATTATTATTATTATTTGAACACATAGATATTGATACAAGGAGGCAACAAATACATATGCGCCACACAAATCTCATTTGATTTGTGTGAGGGCTGTGATACTGCCCGGGTGCCCAGACCGAAGCAGGTGGTTTTCTTAGGGGGCCACACCCTGAGCCTTAGACCTAAAGGGAGAGAGAGAGAGAACAATGGTGGGGGAAACGGAAAGGTACAATCAGAAGAGATCTTTCAGTTAAGGAAGATACAACCACTTTTTATGAAGAAAGTAAAAGAAGGTTACAGCAGGATCACCACTGGCTTCTATTCTGAGCCATATCTGATAACGTCTCTAGCTACTGCGTTACACCGTCTCTCGGACCCCAACCAGGGAGTCGTGAAGGACCAACAGAAGCTAGCCCTTTGCAGTTTTCTTTCATACCACGACACCATGTCATATACTGACCGCCTCTCCGCTTTTTCCAACCAGTCCCAGTGTCGGCAAATAATGCACGACGAGGAATTCTCTGGGACGACATTCGTAGAACATGTCCACGCCACCGAAGTCGGTGTTTCAAGATGGTGACACCAATTTCATTATCGTCTCTGTGACCGAACACACGATGCCGGACCTCTGCATTACTTACATGGTGTTGCCACTGGATGCCAGCAATCCTTCGGAGACAACGATGATCAAACACAGAGAGTCGTCTAACATCCTCAACTCGGAGAGGCTAGGTTTCACAAGCATAGAGCAAAACTGCTCTCACCGTCGCGTTGTAGATCCGACCTTTTACAGCCAGACTAATATCAAAAAGTGTCCAAAGATGGCCCGGATTGGCATAAGCCGCTCTGGCTTTCACTATGCGTGCATTGATCTCATCACTCACACCACCACTAGCACTTATGCAGCTACCTAGATACACGAACTTCTCGACCACTTCTATCTGATCACCATCCAGAGTGAGTACAGGATTAGAATCCTGCCAGTCTTGTAGGAGTACTTTGCACTTTGAAGGTGCGAAGCATATACCATACCTATGGACATTGACTGCCAACTGATTAAGTGCGAATTGCATGGCTTGAACATTCTCGCACAGGAAGACAATTTCATCCGCATACTCAAGGTCGAGAAGTCTTTCTCCAGGCAACAGATCCACACCACCATTACTAACATCCATCAGAGCAGTTTCCAGAATGTCATCGATGGGAAAGTTGAAGAGGAATGGTGAGATTGGGCAACCCTGCCTAACTCCACTGCTTGAATGGAATAGTGGAGAAAGGTGGTTGTATGCCCTCACTCTGCCTGAGGTGTTTGTGTATAGGGCTTTTAGGATGTTAATAAACTTCTCAGACACACCCTTCTTCAATAGACAATCCCAGAGAACAGTTCTGTCCAACGAATCGAAGGCAGCCCTGATATCAAGAAACACTACGATTGTTGGCCTTTGATAAGTATGACGGTGTTCTAACACTTGGCGGAGGGTGAAGATATGATCAATACATCCTCGACCAGAACGAAACCCAGCCTGCTCCTCGCGAGTCAATCCTTCTGGGGTTCTGAACAATCTACGAAGTATGACGGAAGCCAATAGCTTGGACGCAATCGGAAGTAGACTTATCCCTCTATAGTTGTTACAGAAACAACGTGAACCCTTTTTAAAGATAGGGACAACTATCGACTCATTCCATGACGTTGGTACACTCTCTAGTTCCCAGACCTTTGTAAACAACGTCGCCAGTCCCTTAGTCAGAAAGTCACCACCATCTTTAAAAAGAGCCGGAGGTAAGTCGTCTGGGCCCGGTGATTTGTAACGTTTCAAGAGTTGGAGTTCCTTGTGGACTTCCGCCTCATTTGGTGGATCAGCCGTCACCGGCCATGGAGGGCAGGACAGTCTGACCGATGTTGCCGGAGCAGCAGGCCAGTTGAACTGCCCTTCAAAGAATTCTGCCCATCGTCCAAGACGTCGATGGATGTTAGTGATTAGCGTTCCGTCATCCTCGCAGATTGTTTCACTCACACCAGACTTCTTGCTGCCGGTGGCTCAGATGAGTTGGAAAAGCTTCCGGTAATTACCAGATGCAGCTGCTGCTTCCAGCTCATTAGCACGCTCCGACCACCAGGCTTCTCGGTGCTTACGCAAGCTTTGCCCGATTTCGTTACGTAACATCCTTCGTCTGTGGTCGAACTCACGGTCACCCGGAGAAGACCGACGGGCTTCAATCAGTCGTAAGAAACCAGAAGAAACCCAGTGCTTGTAAGCGGGACGTTTCGCGAACCCACAACAGACTTGACCCGCCATTTTCTTGGCGTCATGCAATTGTAACCAATGCTCATCTATACTTTTCGTTGGAATGGTAGCTAGCCTAGAAGCTAGCTCGGTTCGGTACTTACTAGCAACAGAAGTTGCAGCCAGCTTGCTAACATCAATCCTTTGGTGGCGGTCACTTCGTTGTCCACTGAAAAGTAAGGTAAGATTGGCGCAGACCAGAGCATGATCAGATTCCAGATAGGTACTCCAAAAGGAGCGGCAGTCTTGTACACAACCGCGCCAGCGGTAGCTGATCGCGATGTGATCAATCTGAGTCCAGGCTTGAGATGCAGAAGCGGGACGCCAGGTGGCACATCGGCGATGACTGTGCCGAAAGTTAGTGCTAGCCAGAAACAGGTTGTGGTCTGTGCATAGTTGCAGTAGACGTTCCCCGTTATCTGTCCTGCGACCAACGAGTCCCCATCGGCCACCTAAACGACTCTCTTCTGTGCCTAGACGCCCGACCTGAGCATTCAAGTCTCCAGCTAGTACTACAATATCTGTCGAACGCACTTTCTGGAGAAGAACAGTTAGCTGATGGTAGAACTCGTCCTTGATTGCATCCGGGCTGCAATCTGTCGGGGCATAGGCGGAGATGACGAAAAGACATCGTTTCTCACGCCGATTTCTTCTCACTTTGATGGAACTTTCTAATCTAACAGCACATAACCGACTGTTAATGGGGATCCAGTGGACTAGTGCTGCCTCAGCTCTTGCGCTTAGTGCGACACCAACGGCAGCAAGACCAGACGAAGATGCCACAGGGTCCCCGGATAAACGCACATAAAACAAGCTTTTTGAAGTGACAGATGGAGAGCGAACTTGTAGTACTTCACCAGAGTCTTGAATACGGGTCTCGGATAGACAACACACATCAATATTAAGACTTTCCAAAGACATAGCCAGTCCTATCTGTTGTCCGACCTGCATAAGTGTGCGAACGTTGAAGGTAGCCAGTTTGAATGGTGCACGCGGTTTCAGAAAAACTGCTTCAGTACTCATGTTCGGTAGTAACATACAATTTTCAACCAGGCAGTGACTCGGGAACGCATAGATAAAGCTGAATTTTCACCATAGGTGAGCTGCTGTCTAGGTCGAAACGCATATATAAAGTAGGAATAAGAGAGGGTGAATAAATGACGTGGTAGAGTAATAATAATAATAATAATAGTAATAATAATAACAATAATAATAATAGTACGAGTTATTTCAATGTTAATCAGATAGACAGGAATATTTTCCATAAGCAAATTGTTCATCATAGTTTTAGTGAGTGGGCTGGGATACTGCCCGGGTGCCCAGACCGAAGCAGGTGGTTTTCTTAGGGGGCCACACCCCGAGCCTTTGACCTAAAGGTCTAGTCCACAAGGCAGTGACGTAGTAAATAATAATAATAATAATAATAATAATACCAGTCATTTCAACGTTAGTCGGAGAGAAACGAATATTTTCTATAAGCAGATAGTTCATCATGGTTTTAGTGTGTGGGCTGAAATACTGCCCGGGTGCCCAAACCGAAGCAGGTCCCTGGCAGAGGCTGTATACGCGTGGCCGTGTGAGAGTATTTCGAGAGGGAGGGCGAACCCCCCTGCTCTCGGCCATACCAGGGCATTCGGGGGCTGAAAGTCCAAGGATTGAGTGAAACAATTAATGTAATTCTATTACAACGAACTATAAATCAGTACTTTTCTGGGTTTTTGTGCTTTAGATACTTTATCTCTATAAACCAATAGGCTTATTTTATTTTGAGGAAAGAACTCATCAACCCTCTTGACCACTAGCTTACAACATCAGTACGTTAATCAAGACCAGTAGTACGACTTATTTTAGAAACACGATTGTTGGTTATGATTCCATTTTTTTCAGAAGACAAAGTGCATTTGAGAAGTCACATGCGACTGATGACCAAATCTGCGGAAGTAACTGACTTACTCAGAAGACTTTTCTACCAGTCCAGTTCGCCGTCGTATATACCTCATTAAGGGCATAGCTTCAATTATTAGGTTTATTTTCTGCTATCAACAGAAACATAAGTACAAGTAAAGCTGAACTATAAGGCCAGGACGGTAGAATCGGACAGTCCAATCGCCTTATTTTAGGGAAGCCGTTATAGAGAAGTTTGGAGAAATGGCACAAAACTGCAAAACATCCCCAGAATCTTATAACGCTGAGGAAGTCTGTTTATATTGAAAAAACCCAAAATAGGGAGATTGGGAGACTCCAACCAGTTGAGGATGCAGCAATTATGAACGAAGGATCTATGATCTCGTAATTAAGATTGAAGTTAAGGATGAGTAGTTTAACGTTAAGATGAGGGCGCATAGTTTGGGATTCAAAGTCATAACTAGAATGCAGAACATAAATATTGAGACTTCAGCCTAAACCCGAGCTCCCAATTTTGTAGAAAATTTGACCCATTTTGAGGAAATGACGCCAAAACCCCAAAATTTCACCTAAATTTCCCAATATTTCCTAGCATCTTATTACATTTTGGGGAAATCGGCTCGTAATTATCAGCAAAACCCCAAATCATCGAGTAGATTTCGCGTTTTCCCCCGAAATTTTGCGTTTTTCCCAAGAATCGTATTATACTTTTAGAAAATTTGTCTGTACTTATTAAGTAAACTGCAATTACGAACAGTAAACGCAGTACCAAAGCAACTTAACGACAATCGATGTATCGTATGTACAGCATGGAGTTAGATATATATATCTAACCCCAATGTTATAAGATTCTGAAAGCCCAAAATTTCCCCAAAACTTTGGGTGTTTTCTACAGACCTGGGAAAATTCAGGGGTTTTATGCAATTTCCCCGAAGTTTTCTCTAGCGATCTCCCCAAAATCTACTCAAACAGGACAGAACCCCCCCCCCCACGACTTTGAGCGAGATCGAATAACAGTAGCATCTGCATCACCATGCACAAGCATTTAGTCATTGGTAAGTTTGAGTCTAGATTGAAAGTACAATATGTACAGGGGCAGTGTGTGAATCTAGCAGAAAAGAAACGTCGGCGACTCGGAAGGCACTTGTAATTAACAATAAAAAATATTTACAACCACTACGGACAATACAAACATACGATTAAGAAAGGCTACTCATTGAAAAGAATTGATGGAGAAAATTTACCAACGAGTTACAACGCATTCGTTTGATAAGTGCGCTATCAGTTTCTAATATCCAATAAAATGGTTCAAATGGTTGTGGACGGAATAGAAGAAGCTTTCGCTTAACAGGCTTCCGTGTCTAGTAGCAGGGGATCACCAATACCTCCAGGCAAGAACCTAGGTATATTAACGATAAAGGAGAAAAAAGAAATTGGTAAATCATAGTAAGATACTATCCTTAGTCCTTAAGCATAGATCAAGTCGCCTCTCAAAGGACTCCTGGGAAGTTGCTTGGACTAGCTCAGCCGACCGCGAATTCCAGCATTTGACAACTCTTAAGGAGTAGAAGTTGTGCCTGCATGTTGTATCTCCAATTTCTGTGTGTTGCCCCTTAGGTTAATGTTGGGACTAAGCTTAAGTAGGTGTTTAAGAGGATGTCCAGAAGTGTTAAGGATTGTGGAATCCATTAGAAGGTCACCTCTAAGATGCCTATACATTAATAGTGGGTAAAGGTTAAATGATTGGAGGCGCTGTTCATAAGGTTTGAATTTGAGTCCCAGAACTGATTTCGTGGCTCGCCGTTGGATACTCTCCAGAGTGTCCTTATCCTTTTGGAGTGTAGGAGGGAATACTATGTTTCCGTACTCTAAATGGGAACGAATGAAACTATTGAAGATTATGTGGAAAGTTCTCCCGTCAAACTGATCGAAAATGCGCTTCAATGTTACCAGTGCAAGGTTTGCTCGAAAGGCATTTCTGTCTCAGTTGGCGTAAGACTTTAAGTCGTAGGGCACCAGAACTCCCAAGTCTTTTTCGACTCGGGATACTACTAGAGAGGAGTTTCCTAGGCTGTAACTGTAATCTGCGACGTGTCGCAGATGGACTACGTTACACTTTGAAGTGTTAAAGGTAAGTCCGTTGTCATCTGCCCAACTTTTAATTCGAGTCAGATCCTCCTGAAGTGCCTGTATATCGTCTTGGTTGCGTATCTCTCTCCAAAGTTTCACGTCATCGGCAAAGAGCAATATGTCTGACGTTACCTGTTGGAGAAGATCATTCATATAAATCAGGAAGAGAAGGGGTCCTAGTACTGAGCCCTGAGGGACCCCACCTGACATTCCCTAGCCTGTGATAAATTGAAGTTTACCCTGACCTTAAAATGTCGATTTGTCAAATATGAACTGAGCCACTCAATTAAAGGTGGTTTGATACCCAATCGTTTGAGCTCATTGATAAGACGTATGTGGCTAACCCTACCAAAAGCTTTTGAGAAATCAAGGCAAATGATATCAACCTTCCCCTTGCGATCAAGAATGCTTGTCCATCTGTCCACCGCGGTCAGCAGGTTTGTCATTCAGGAGTCACCTTTCCTGAAACCATGCTGTTGGGTTGAGAAGAAATTTAAGGACAGCAGATAGTCGTGTATACCATCGTATAACAGGGACTCCATGATCTTTGAAGGTATAGAGAGAAGAGCCACCGGTCGGTAACATGAAGTTTCGCTGCGTCGACCTCCTTTGAAGACTGGTGTGATTTGAGCCAGCTTCCAATTTTCCGGTAGTTTGCCTCGACTTAGCGAGTCTGAGAACATCAACCTAAGCGGTGTTGCCCGGATTGAAGCTGCTTCCCTCAGTATAGCAGAATGGACCAAATCTGGGCCATGAGAAGTGCCTGTTCTTCAGTGCTGCAGTTCCCGGAACACCAAGTCAGCGCTTAGTTTCACTACGGAAAGTCCTGTGCAGCTGCAGATGAAGCTGTCATCAGTACATTTGATGTGGGTCGGTTGAATTGTCAGTAAGTATTGCTCAGCCAGAAGGTTAGCGGCGTCACTGTCGTTATCGGCCGGGCCGTTAGGACCTAGCAGTTGAGAAACTACAGTTTTGGCTTGACGAAGAGAGGCTGCGTAACGGAATAAGCTTTTCGGATTGGAAATAAATTTCTCCATAAGCTTGATCTGGTACTGAAGCCTGTCTTCTCTTATAGCTTTCTTGCATATGTTTCTTATATGTTTGTATTGCCTGTACGTGCTGTTGTTGTCAGTTCGTTTGTATTCTGTCCAACAGTGCCTTTTACGGCTTAACAAACGAAGAGTGCGGTTTTTGATGATTGTAGAATGCTTGTGGCTTTTGGGGACCGTTTGAGGAACCGACTGCTTTGTAGCACATAAGAGCGTGTGAAGTAAGAAGTTCCAATCAGCATCCACATCAAGTTGAGGGTGAACATCCCAATCCACCTGTTGTAGATAGTCCTGTAGAGCTGACGCATTCAACCATTTGAAATTCCAGCGCCTTCATGTTGTTGGGATATATCATCTCAGTTTTGCTGAAAAAACTGAAGGCCATGACGGCGTGATCGCTTTTATCCAGGGTAGCCGAAATTGAGAGGTTGTCAACTAGAAATTCTCCGTTTGTAAAAACACAGTCTAGGCGCGACGGTGTCTGACTGTCCTTCAACGAGTTGCCGACTTCACATTTTCGTATTATCGCATATCCTCAATGAGGTTGAAGAACCAAGCTTCAATTGAATTTTCACCTCCAATATACGTATGTTCCGCGTAGTTGACTTTAGGGAGATTGAAGTCCCCTAGAATCAGGATATGTGTGAAACCAAGACGCGTGGAGCGGGATAGTCCTTCCAGCACAAGACTATCATACTCGATGTCGGCAGTTGGCTTCCTATATATGACTCCGACTAAGCACCCCGAAGTAGTAGAAAGCTTACAGAGCATCATATGAATTCCTCCAGATTATTAAACTCATGATTGTGAAATTGTTGTACCTTCAAGCCAGATCGCATGTATACGGCTACTCCACCCCCAATTCCTGTTTTTCTGTCGTTGAGAAACAGAGACTTCCCAGGTATTGCTAGCTCCTGGTCCGAAAACTGAGAAGATATTCGAGTTTCAGATATTTCTATCAGATGAACATTATTAGCATTGCTAAGTTCACGTAGCCCATCCATTTTGTTTAGTTAGCTTGCTGCTTTCATGTATAAGCAGTTAATGCTTTCAATTTGAAACGCGTGAGCTTCTTCCTGTTTGTCTGTATGAGCCTTACGTGAGTGGACAGGTAGCTTACGTATATAAGGCTTGCCGAATGAGTAGGTCCTGTCCTTTACACGTTTTCTTGCCATCAAGACAGTCCACCAGTGGAATGGTCAGATCCAGCTTGCCTTTGTGCTTGATCCTGGTGTCATACGGCCTGTCCGGGTGCATGTGGATCTCAGTGATTCTCATTAGTCGGGGTCTAGAATCATCGTTCTTCTTGGCTAGTCTCGTCACATGCTGAGTCAGTATGTTTTTGAGGCTCAAGAACTGTTTGATGAATTTCCATCGCCGAATGGAGTTTGTTTTACCAGGGTCCATGTTTTCCAGTACACCTTGCACAATGATATTTCTTCCGCGTAAAAACTTCTCTCGAGATTCTTTAGGGATGTTTCGGATGATATCGCGCTCGGAATACGGTATGTTGGGCAGTATTCTTACATTCTCATCGGATTTCAGTAAATGACTAGCTAGCAGGACATCCTCTACGTCGGTAGCACGAAGTAGCCTCGGGTGATTTTGATGCTTAGATTGCTTTCCCATAGTGAGCCGTGTGACCGTCAAAGGCTCTATTCTAGGAAGGTCAAGCGTTTTGTTCAATTCACCCCAGAGCATCCTGTCATTTTTGTCCTGCAAACTGAGATGAATGTCAGGGTTGTCTTTGAGGTTCATGATTATAAGAGATTCATCACGAACCATTATTGTTTTCCCAGGTTTTCCGGTGCTTTCCGGTTCAGCACGTTGTTGTTTGGAGGTCGGAGCAGGTTTCTGAATCCTAGGCTTTTTGATAACCAGGCGGACGTTTTTGGGGGTAGACTGAGCGATCAAATCACCAGTTGATTTCCGAATAACGCTTGGTATGTTTAATTTAGACGGTGACGCCTGGTCCTATTTAGCTCTGTTAACGTGGGCCCAATCATCTACAGAGTTTTGAGGAACCACTGTTGCATTTAAGGACCCTTGGCCGGGATACCCGAGTTTACTCAGGGAGTCCACTACCGTCAACGTAATGATTGTTCTGAGTTTCAACATGTCATCATCAGAGCTAAGGCATGCTCCATCGATAGTAGATCTATCGATATTCCTTATTCTTGTTTTCATTACGTGCCCTTGTTTGTCTACCTGTTCTATGACTATCTTTTTCCAAGTTTGCTGACAACTTAGTCCGCAGACCTGTCAATAGGACAATGATGTTACTCGGCAATACTACAGCATCCTTGATGCACGTAACACATGCCCACTTATGAACCGACTTGTTGAGTCTGTTGTAAGCAGTTGCCGTGAGATCTGTGCACGCTTCATGGAACCAACCTTGCAGTTGTTGCACTGCATGACTAGATGTAACAGCAAAATGGCATCCAGGTCGTTTTCATGAATTTTGCATGACTGTATTGACGTAAACATTATTGTAGATGCTAGCAAAAGCCTAAGACCGTTAAAAATACACTAAAAAGCACACTAAAAACGGGAAAAATAGATAAAAACAGATGAGATAAACTGAACTATCTTTTACGTGAAAAACTGAAAAAAACGAATAGTAAGCTGAGGCAAAACCACAGTTAACTATTTAATTGGGCGAAACTAAAAATGTAATCTAACAAAAGTATAGCTCAGAATAGATTCTTTAGATCAGAAATGGTACTTTTGTTGCGTAAGAACACAGCAAAAGTTTGAGAAATGCAAACCACGCTGGGACTAAACTTCCCGTTCGAAAAGCGTGCAACTAAGTGAGTGCTCAGTTAATTTTGTGAGCTCACAAAATTTTAAGGGATTCAGAGAAGTGTTTAGAATGCCTTATATAACCAAAAAAAGTCAATTTTGGGGGTTTATGGCGTAGTGGATTAAGATGCAGTGAATTGATGCGATCTTCGTAGGGTTGTGGCACGAGTCTTCGAAATGATTTTGTGGCTTTATAGAAGTTTCAGTGTTTTCCTATTCTTTTTGAGTAAGAGAGGAAACACTATTTTTCCGTGAAATTCTAATGCCGAATATTCTCTGGATGTTAAGCATCTTGTAGAGTATTGTATTGTGTTTGGGTACGGATGACTATCTACTCCGCGTCTTAATTCAGTCATGTCTAGTGAAACTAACATGCTCGTACACAATGTTGAAGACCTTCAAGGCTACGTAACTTGGCAAATTAATTAAACACCCATTTCTCAATCCAGCAATAAAAAGGTAATGGATATGAGCTACGTTTCTCTGAAATACTTGTTTTTGTGCATCAACGTCAAGGTTAAATCTTAGGTGGCTTCGGCTTTCTCACACCGCCCTTTACTAATTGTGACGGTATGTGTGGTCTTTCCTTATTATTATCAAGCTGATGTATATTCAGCCTCTATGAATATTTTATGTGGTACCTTTTTAAAGAAAATTTAGTATTTGGAGTCTCGATATACATTTTGAGACAAATGTTGTTTCGTTTTGTTAATTATATACAATATGTTGATTTGCTGCATATGCTTCCTTTATAATCCACAGCGATTGTGGTAATTAAGTTGTGAAAAGAGTCAGTAATAAAGTGTTTACTTCCAAATTGAGCGACGCGTGTTGAATGTGATTCTAAAACTATAGGGTTCCATTTATGACATGTCGAATTTCAATTTCTGGCTACTAAACAGGTTTAATTCAGAACTTATACATGTCCATAATACATTTTCATCTAAATTAGTAAGAGAACCAGGTCAAATTAAAAGCGTTGTGGCAGTTGTTTGTATGTATATTTTTCCCCCGTGGTTCGTAGAGCTCCCATTTGCACTATTTCATTGTTTACCATACTTCTCGACGCAAATGGATATACAGTGTTTTCGGATTTTTACAAGTTCAAAGTCTCAACATCAAACTTCCTACTGCCGTACTAAGTCCTATTTCACTATAATCTACTTTTTGAACAAAGTACTGAATATTTTGATGTTGGTGTTTACAGGTTTACACGAACTAAATTTATACCTAGTCTAATGTACAGGTTTTCGGTTCATCAGAGTTATTCTCCTGTTCATTATTATATACCGTGTTCAGTGATTTTGGAGTTTTCTTCATTGGGTTTGTATCCTATCAAACCTGTATTAAATTACATATGTATCTTGTAACCAATCCAGATAATGCTAGAAGATTCTTATCAATACTTCCTTTTATATGAAGATCTTTGATACACCATTTTGTTGTTTGACCCAAGCAAATAACACGAGGCTTGCATGGCGAAATAACCCATTTGTCTTATTTTATTTTCATAGCCTACATATGGATTGCCCTGCCGTGAATTTCCATGGCATTGAACTACAATCTCACGAGAAAGGGGATAGTAAACAGAGTTCTTTTTGTGCCCCCCGAACCCCTTCCAATCTAGAGGTGAGCTAAATTTAGCCATTTGAATATATCTGTTTCTGACTGCACGAATTTTTATTGTCATAATATGAAATAGTATTTTTTTAAAGATTATTTCATAACTGAACATGTATCTAAACTTACTCGACGTATAACGTTCACATCTTCATTGCAAATCATTTTATTTTGGCTAAATAGTACAGAAGCATGGTTTTATTTATAGAGACTGGTATCCAACATGGCAGTGTGACTGACTGCATGGTAGCTTGTTATACCGACCGTTATACCCTATCATTCTTTGTCTTCCCTTAAATTCCAAGTTCCAATATGATTGCAGATTGTAGGCTTAGTTCCAAAACTTTCTGTGATTAATAATTAGGGATGTCAGGCGACTTCAACCTGCAATGTTGGTTTTCGTAAGACAGTTTGAATAACGTGCGGATGGTCAAAATAATAAATAACGACAGTCCGTCAATTTTAACCATCATATTGAAATATTTAGTTGGACCATGTCTATCTGGTTAGGTTCTATACGAGAATCGTGATTAACAGTGAAAGACCTGTGATATGATTCAATATCGGTTATAGTAGCGTGGCTGCATTCATTCTTCTGTTTTTTTTCCCGTGCCTCGAATTTCAATATAATTTCATACTTTTCACTCCACGAAATCGTTCCTTCTTGTTGAGCGATATATTCGATTTAGCATCCGTTACAATCATGGGCAGTGTCATTACTTCAACTTGTTTGCCATGTATCTTGTTCCTTTCATCTTAGTTTACTAACATGGTGTAAAAACTTTGATTAGTTCTTATATATGTTAAGTTCCATGTGATTTACAACAGAGTGGTTGATTCTAGTTGAGATTTTACAGTATTTATTATTATTAGCTTTATTGAATATTATATTTTTGGAACAATTTAGAATTCTCAATGTGAAGCATTTCAACGAGTTTTCATTTCCTACTTCTCGATCTATCGCGACGATAAATATTGAGTGATCTCTAATTATATGTTGGCAGTTCAGGAATCGACATTTGAATAATGTACATTCTTTTCGATGTATATTGCCAGCAACCACATTGTCTTCGATTGTACTTTTCTGCAACTTGTACAACAAAAGGTTGTAAATGTTTCAAAAACGCACCTGAATAGGTTGTACAGTTTATTGACATAATGATCTATGGAAATAAACAAAAGACAGACACCGTGTAGAAATATTTAGATGGCAGGAATAGGTAGTCCAAATATTCAAGCAGGCCGCTTATGCTTAATAGCTTGTAAAATTAAGGTATTTTTAAGATGTTGAAGGCTAAGATGCCTTAATAACTTTCCAAGCACGTCTTATCACTTGACCACTTCTTCATTGTAAGTTTATGATACAAGTGTTTAGCCATTTAGTATTCCAATCACTAGGGTACAGGTTCAAATAAATTTGTAGACGACCAAATGGGTTGCCCAGATATGTAAATCTCTATAGGGATTAAGTTACTCATCAGTTATGTATATAAAATCTAAGCACTAAGATCACTTTTTCTTTCGAATGATATCTCTTGTAAATTAGTTTAACAACTGCTTTATTTATTTTATTATACCTTAAAAAACCGTTCAACTGATAGGAACATGAGATACTCACTTCTTCTGGTTTATACCAACGGGTCTACGTTCAACCTAATAAGAATAAAACTGCAATTATCACTTATCATGATATTGGAACTAATCGTAAGTACATGAGTTCAAAGAAACATTATACTAGCACATGTGTACATGTATTTTATTTATTTATTTATTTATTTATTTATTATTATTATTATTGTGGTAAAGCTACCATACCGACTGCTTTAAGCGACTAATCAAAACCAAGCTAATTTACTCGAAATACTAGCGCAAATTCAAAAGACATTTTTAGACAGCTTGTTATTGGAAAGATGGTTTTGATATTTGCATTTTGAAAGCATTGGATGATGTTTTTTTCTTGAATAAACCATTAAGGTCAGTGTGTTAGGGTTAATAGTTAGGTTTTAGAATTACTAGATTTATAAGTTACTCGGACTACGGTGCTATTGTTTTTGGCATGATTTATTGATAGTTAGCCCTAGGGTGTTCATCAATCATGTTAAAACTCTTAGTCCTCTATGTTTTAGATTACTTTCACAAAAGCTGTGTTCTGAGAGGCTATTTTCTGGTTGGTCAATGTCAAGATCAGCCTTAAATTTTTTCAATGCCGTTAGTATACTATGGTCCTACCATTATTATTCTTGTTTCCTAAAACTGATATCTTAAATATTTTTTGACAACGTATTGACTCCATCGGGAATGATGAAGGATTGAGCGATGAGTGAACCATGAACATGATTTCTAGGTTTGGTTTCATATATTTTACTGTAGTAACAAAAAACCGAATACGAATCAAGTTGGTAGGACTTATTCCAGGTATTCTTTGATGCAGACAAACAATGAGAGACGTGACGCAGAAACAGCAGGCGTACCAACTCAATTTAATTAAATCATGACTCAGCATTTATGGATATGAAAGATATGAGCAAGTTTATAAATACACACATACTGTAATAAACCATCTCAGGGTCATATGTGTAAGTGATAGAATGATCGGAAAGATCAAGATAGTTCATCTTTCTGAAGGTAATTATAAGATGTGTAGGCGTCTGACAATAATGCAACCAAATTATACTACACTGACAACCTTGGGCAACTCATCAAATAATCAGAAAACAGTACATAGTCATAAAGCAATTAACAATAGAAAGCAATAAAATTACAGTTGAGGGATATTTTCGATATGATAGTCCCTTGTATAATAGAGGGAAGTAGTCAGGTTTGCATGACAGGAGTTAGGCTAGTGTTGTGAGTCGGGTTTATAACACCATAGAGTTTTCGTCATCAACTAACATTAGCTACAATGCAAAATGTTGGAATTAGTTAATCAGTGTCGATTGAAATCAGCTATAATGCCATGACACTTTGTCGCCCTTTTTTTACAAACTTAACAACCTTGAGATTGAGATTCAAGAGTCTGAATGTAAAAATGTTAATTAGCTACATAAATACTAGTGACTATGTACTGAATCACAGGAAGTACTTTAAAACACAATCTGGATTATGAGCAGGTATTTTTTGTAGTTTATTCATGTTTCATTGTAAAAATTGAGTTATTAATCATTTTCAACAAGATTTATTTATTGTTCATGATCACTTTTCTTGGATGACATGAAAAAATTATCTGTTCAGTATGGTTTTCGTTTTGTTTATTTAATTGTTATTGTTTCAAAGAAGATACAATTTGTTAATCAATATTTAAAGGATGTGTCAAAATCATTCCCATCATATGTGTTTCATGTAGATTCGTTAGACTTTTGAGTATTTAGGTTGAAAGCAGTATATAATAACACTGTCTCTATGCAATATTCTCTAGGAGCAAACTAGCCCTCAAATGCCTTGGTATGGCCAAGAGTGGGGAGGGTCATCTCTCCCTCTCGAAATGCTTCCACATAGCCACGTGCATACAACCACTATCAGGGAAGTCCTACTCACTGCCTTCTCGCGGCGGGAGTGTTGTTTACGAAAATGAGAGAACGAAAAGCGAATGTCCGGTGCTTTAACCGGGTTAGTGGACACGGAGAGTCCACCTATGGGAGTTGGAAAATCCTTATTCCGAACCAACGGTGTATATGGGCTCCAGTATCCTGAGGGAACAAATAGAGTATGAACCAATTGTCGGTCTCCGGCTACCATAGAACTGCATCCTCTTACGTTGCTCCACTGCCTTGTGGATTAGACCCTTAGGTCGAACGCTCCAGGTGTGGCCCCCTAAGAAAACCACCTGCTTCGGTTTGGGTACCCGGTCAATATCCCAGCCTTCACACAAATCGAATGATTTATGTGGCGAATATCTATTTGGTGCCTCCTTTTACCGGTGTTTATGTGTTTAAATAAATAAATAGATAAATAAATAAATAAATAATGAGCAAACTAATATGATATCTCACTCTAAAATAACACTTAAGCTTTGTATTTTCATATTAATGGAAGTATTGTTTAGTACTACTTATTTGTAGAATAAGTGGTCACCTTATTAATGTTTAAAGCAATCAGATTTCGGCAAAATCCTGGCAGGTTATAAATCTACTCTATTTAATTCAGTTTTAAAAATTCAAGTTGTTTTATCAGGGATTTACACGAAAAGTCTTACAGAAAATTAAAACGATATTATACTTGATTGTTAAATAGCAATAGATGATCTGTAAAGTTCTGTATACTAAAGTTTAGCACTTATGTAACCTGATTTCAGGAAATTTATAATCAAATGGTATTCAAGTTATTGGAATAGTCTGGGGTGGAGGACATTTCATTTATTATAACGATTGATTATACTTATTTAAATCATAATAATTATTCTTATGTGAACCACAGCATATTAGTAATAACACAGAACTGTGGTTGGCGAATGATGACTTTTGTTTATATTAGTATTTCGGTAAAGATCTGGGTTTCTTGTTTTTGTCAGATTGATGTCGTTTTAATTAAAATGAAACTATATCACGGCTGTGTTAAATTATCTCGATATTTCATAACGACATTTTTCCATAACAGTTGCAACTCACTTTACACTTATTTGAGTCAATCAATTTGTGGCATTTTTCAGTAGCGTCTAATAGGATCATTAATATTTTCTCGATATGAAGTAGTTAAATTGAAGTCGTCAGTCTATTTATTTATTATTTATTTATTTGAAGACACACAAATATTAGTACAAGAGGGCACAAAATATATATGCACCACACAAATTTTTATTTGTGTGTGGGCTGTGATACTGCCCGGGTGCCCAAACCGAAGCAGGTGGTTTTCTTAGGGGGCCACACCCCGAGCCTTCGACCCAAAGGTCTGGTCCACAAGGCAGTGGAGCATCGTGAGGAGATGCAGTCCCATGGTAGCCGGTGACCAACGATTGGCTCATACGCCATTTGTTCCCGCAGGATACTGGAGCCCATGTGCACCATTGATTTGGGATCCGGTTAAAGCACCGGACATTCGCTTTTCGTTCTCTCATTTTCGTAGACAACACCCCAACAGTGAGAAGGCAGTGAGTAGGACTTCTCTGGCTGAGGTTGTGTACGCGTGGCCATGTGAGAGCATTTCGAGAGGGAGGGAGGGCTCACCTCACTCTCGGCCATACCAGGGCATTTGGGGGCAAAGTCGTCAATTTAGTTAGTTCTTTTAAAACTAATAAATAAAAACTTTTGTTTTGATCAATCTTTACACGACGTCACTAGTGAATGTTATTGATTATTACTATGAAAACTTCAATTGGGAATTTAGAAAAAACACATTGTAAAAAATTAGATCAATACTTGGATTAACATACACCAAAAAGTGATATGTTACTTTGTGTGTTATAATCAATGTTGTTTTTGTCCCTATTTGTGAACATTCCAGTGACCCCTTTCTTCATCTTGCGCTCACTCAATTTAGTCCTGTTATAACTACAAATGCATTTCTTGAGTGAAATATTTTAACGCTAATCTCGAGATTATTAAGAATTTTTACTTCTATCAATAAAATAATGTAAACATTGTGATTGGCTTATTGGACTAAATGCTATCTGGTCTTTTACTTATGTATATGTGGAATCGGTACATATTCATACAATAGACTGCAAGTTGAATGTACTATGTGCCATGTGTTATTCAATTACGAAAAATGAACTGTGTAATCGATATGAAATTCTTTATTGAATAGTTACTGTACAATAAACATTTGAGATATTAAATTTCTACCTGATTCCTATTTTCCTACAACTTTCAACAGTTGATCATTAAACGTAGATACAGAGAGTGGAAATATGAAAGAAGATTCATTTTGAAAGTTAGATTTATATGCAGAGAACCAAGAATATTCATTTGTTTAGATGTAACCTTTAGGCTTGAAAGGCCAGTATAACAGTCATTTAATGGGTCATAAATTCGACAATTGACTGATCAAATTTAAAAAGGAAATTGAGTTGTTTTCTAAGAAGTTTTCAAAAATGCTCCGAACGAATTCATCGCTGAATAAACCAAAAAACTCTACGTTTTTAGTTTGGTAACTGTCTGGATTGTCTTTTATTCTTTCTCATTATAAGTTATAAAGAATTATTTCGTTAAGTAGTTTGTAGTAATTCAGTCACTTTGGTAATAATTCTTATCTTGTTATAACAACTGGAGGATCATTTAAAAGTGAGTTTCATGTTAGTTTTACGTGAGATGACTGGTTAACAGCGTATACTGAAAAAACCCTAACTCCTTAGATTTCATTCTAAACATAATGATATTCAGTCATTCATTGTATTGAAACTGATTTAACTCAAACAGTCAGTCAGTCTAACAACGTAGAACTTCATACGTATGTACATCAGTTCGAGTTGCCATACCACATAAGCACACAGATACAATTGTCGATTCAAATCTCGTAGTTGTAGAAGTAGTAAAAGTATGAACAGTAATCGGAAACATTAGGTTTTGAAGATGTTATTCAAGCAGTATAATTCAGTGAAATAAATTTGGAAAGAGGAAAAAAGGGATATGAAGAATTCAGAAGATTAGAATTTAGGAGAACACAGAGAGTGGATGCACCTGCGCCATTGCAAACGATTTTGAGCCATGTCATTCAAGGTCACCAACCATCGGTTGCTATCACCTCGCGATCCCCAACCAGGTAGTCTACACCAACCAACACGGCTCAGTCCATTTGTTAGTGACTTCATGGATTTGTGCCATGTTTTGGTGTGGTCGCCCCTAGCTTTCTTCCAACCTACTCCTGCCCCCAATTGTCCTGGTACGGCCGAGAGTGTGGAGAGTCCGCTCTCCCTCTCGGAATGCTCTCACATGACCACGCGTATATAACCTCTGCCAGGGAAGTCCTACTCACTGCCTTCTCGTGGCGGGGGTGTTGTCTACGAAAATGAGAGGACGAAAAGCGAATTTCCGGCGCTTTAACCTGATCCGAAACCAATGGTGCACATGGGCTGGCTCCAGTATCCTGAAGGGACAAATGGCGTATGAACCAATTATTGGTCACTGGCTACCATGGGACTGAATCTCCTCACGATGCTCCACTGCCTTGTGGGTTAGACCTTTGGGTCGAAGGCTCGGGGTGTGGCCTCCTAAGAAAACCACCCACTTCGGTTAGGGCACCCGGGCAGTATCACAGCCCTCACACAAATCAATTGAGATTTGTGTGGTGCATATGTATTTGGTGCCTCCTTGTACCAATATCTATGTGTTAAAATAAAAGTAAATAAGTGATAAAACCTACTTCTACACCACCGCATACATAATACATGTCCCAGCCATCTCAACTGATGAAGTTTCACTACTTCATCAATTCATTTGCCACGCTTAACTAGTACCCGTTTCCTAACAACTGAGTTACTTACCCGGTGGTCCCAGGATATACGATCGATGATTGGAAGACACCTATAATTGAATACTAGTAACCTACGAATATCCTCTACTCTTACCGGCCATGTTTTACTGCCATAAAGTAGGACGGAACAAACTGCTGCGCAGTAAACCTGTCCTTTAGTTGTTAGACAGATATCTCGTCTATACCATAAATGACGTAAGTTGGCAAAAGTTAATTGAATCTTTTGTATCCGTGCTGAGATTTCATCACATATCACACTACAAAGGTTGACTAAATTTATAGATTTCAGTTTTCCATTAAAATTTTCATCAATTTATCCATTTAATATTTCATTGTTTTTCAATTATTAATCAGCTGATTTCAGTTACACTTATTTTCAATTTGATAATTTAATTATCTTTGTTTATGACTTAAATTAGATGTATATTTATATACATGCCTTAGATACGGATATGTATGTCATTGGTAACGTTTCATTAATATGAAATTTTTGATTAGTTTTCTATTTATATTCTCATGCTTTATTTACTATTATTATTATTATTATTATTATTATTATTATTAATGTCCTAAATTTAAAACTACCCTTACCATTATTATTATTATTATTATTATATTTCGAATAAAATTCATCTATGAACTTATTTATTATTCCCGTTTAATGTGAACTTTTACACGTACGTGTCATATCTTAACTAGTTATAAATGAACCTGAATATATTTCCATTAAACCATTACACACCTTCAATTAGAATATTCTTGATCAAATGAAAACAAACAAATCAACAAGTAATATGAATCTATATTTAATTTAGTTCATCTATTTTTTTCGAAATTTTCAATATATATATATATATATATATATATTGATTCAGAAGGGGTTTTTGTGGATATTATAGTAATTTTAATAGTTGAGATCATGAATCAATTGAAGTTAGATGACCATAGAAAATCTGGAAGCATTGGACGATCTAAAGGTTAAGCGTTCGCTTGCGAAACCGATAGGTCCTGGGTTCAAATCTCGCGGGGGGTGGGTGGGATCGTATATGCGCACTGCTGAGGAGTCCCATACTAAGACGAAATGGCCGTTCAGTGCTTCCAGGTTTTCCATGGTGGTCTAGCTTCGATTGACTCATGATTTCAACTAGTGAAATAACCGAAATATGCAAAATACCACTTCTGATGCTAATCAGCATATACTCACTAGTGACTGACTTCAAGAGGTATTTCCTGGAGTTCTAGTGAGAAGCAGTGACTAGTGGAGTTCAACCGGGTCTGTTGTAAGATAGTAACTCATTGAAGAAAATGATGGATATGTCGCTCAATTTCGTGGATTAGTTGAAGTCAAATAGATATTGTTGTTGAATGTAAATTAGACTTATTGATTAATGATATACTACTTTTCCGTGGTAGTAAGTAGTATAATTACAGTATTTTTACTACTAATGTTATAATCGATAGTTTATGAGGTTTATGCGCTCATCTGTTTAGTATGGAATATTCATTTTTTAGAAGAGTTTTCTGTTTGATATTATGTAAAATTGAGTGGGTTCTTAGTCTTGAAGTTTTTCTATGATGTTAACATTATTACTTGTTTTATTGACAATGTCGTATTGTATTAATCTCAAAAGGTTTCTAGTATCTTTATTGATATTTTGAACTGATGATACACAAAGAAATTATCCATCAGCTATCTTATTGGTTGAGTTACATTGGTTAGTAGTAAGCCGATAAATCATTCATATGATTATAAGTAGTGAAACAGGTGTTTTTCCAGTTGTTGTATTCTCTGGGTTAGATAGTTTGTCCATCAGCAAATACTTAAAAAAGACTTATTTTCAAAGTATGTTGTGGAAATGTTGTTTTTAAAAACAATAAAAACTTCTCGCCGAAATCATCCAGCTCTGAGGATAATACACTTCCAAAATCCTCATTTTGTGGCACAAATATACATCATTATCCCTAAAACAATAATTTCAGGATGTCATATAATTAAATGGCAGTCCAGTTTATTACAGCATAGTAAAATGAAGGTTTATTGGCCAATGGAAAGGATATAGGTGAAAAGAATTAAATTCATTGTATGATATTAGACTATTTAGATATTGATCATGTGAATTAAATATCCCTGTATCGCTATCATCGGTTTCGAACAACGTCACCTAGGTTATCCACCAACATATTTAAAAGGAAATGAGGACACCGAACATAGGACCTGTACTTTTATGGAGGTTAAGCCCACTAGTCAATAGTATTATAAAGTGATACCATATATAAACACTGATATCTTCAGTCCTCCAAACTACTCCCACATCGTTCAGTGTACCTTCTTCAGGTTGGATGGTTATCATCATCATGTCTTAATCATCTCACTCTGTGAAATTTTACTCTTTTATCTATTTTTTATAGAGCGTAATATATTTCTCATAATCTTTTCTCTTTCTGTAGTTCTACTGACTGAACAAGTTTCCAATGTTCGTGTCTTAGTTGCAAAGAGTGTTAGACTTATTGAGCAATATACTTATCTTTTAATTTTTATTTAAAAGTGATCTATATTGGCTCATATCACGTTAAGTTCGTAATTATCTAGTTAACTATTACTTCATAAAACGGTGGGTAATATAAACTGTCCAAATAAGTAAATTGGTCAAAATATCCAACTATCTCATGGAATGTAGTTGGACTGAGTATCATTTGAGACAAAAATTATTGAGTCTTCTGTGTGTTATTGTTACTTTTACGTTAGTGATTTACATGACTATTTTGTAAAACGATCAATAATTTAATTCACTGTTAACATATTATGTCTATGGAATAATTGACAAGATTAGCACATTGGAAAAAATATTCTATCTCTCAACAAAATCCATTTACATTGGTTTTCAACATCTGATACTTTCCTTTAAGTCATACGTTTGCACTTCACTTTACCCACTGTAGTTTGATTAGTTGCAAGGTGTCACAATAACAGAAGTTTGAAAAGTTTATTCAGTACTGTCAGTAAAAAAAGGAGACTAAATGAAGACGATGGGGCATGTTTATTTTGTTTTATTGAGTTAATGTCACATAAACTAGATGCTTAAATTATTGATCTCTATTAGATTTTGTCAATCTTTTTCGAACTTCATAGTTTATGTATATGAAAGGATGAATGATTATATAGCTATTTGGAAATGTAAATTAAACATTTGTCATAGAATCACCCTCAAATACCCTGGTACGGTCGAGGGTGAGAAAAGTCAACTCTCCCTCTCCAAATCTGTCACATGGCACGCGTATATAGCCTCTGACAGGGAAGATCTACTCACTGCCTTCTCACAGCGGGAGTGTTGTTTACGAATTTGAGAGGACGAAACGCGAATGTTCGGCGCTTTAACCGAGTTGGTGGACATAGGATTCACCCTTGGGAGTTGGAAAACCCTGATTCCAAACCAACAGTGCATATGGGCTCCAGGATCCTGACGTTGCTTCACTGTCTTGTGGATTAGACCTTTAAGTCGACGGCTCCGGGTGTTGCCCCCTAAGAAGACCACCTGCTTCTGTCTGGGCACCCGGGGAGTATCACAGCCCATATACATCAAATGATTTATGTGGCATAATTTACAATAATTCACTAATAAATACTTCGAACATGTTATATTTCATCGTTTTGTATTTCTTTTTCTAGATTATATTTTTTCATTGTTTAAATATTTATATGTCTATTTTAAACAGATACATCCTTCCTTAGTTTATTCAATAATCCTGAAATGCGTGTAATTACTGAAAATTTCACAGTTTATCATATATGTGCTCCTGGACACCATGAAAATGCAACAAATATTAGTTTTGGGTAAGTTATATGATCATATTACATATAATCAAATTGCATTATGTCTATTCTTTTGTATTCTCTATATTTGATATCCACTGTCAACTTTTAACTACAGTAGATGTTCTTCTCCTTTTCTCTTCTTTTTCGTTTGTCAAAATTCTAACTGTATTTTACCAAGAGTTGTTCTGTAAAATGCGTAATGTTTAAATTAAACGTAAATTTTATCAGGAGTTTTGTAGAGATTTTATTTACTTTATATTTGAACTCATGAGTCCGTTGAAGCTAGACTACCATGGAAAACCTGAAAGCACTGGACACCCGTTTCGTCCTAGTATGTGACTCTACAACAGTGCGCATCCACGGTCCCTCCCCCCACGAGATTCGAACCCAGGCCCTATCGGTCTCACACGCAAACGCTTAACCTATAGACGTAAATAGGAAATTCTGTTGAAAGAATTAATTTAATTAATGAATACGACCATTTTGTTTCTTTTTTCATCATAAATCTTTCTTTAGCCGACATTGAACTAAACACGTTTCTCATTGATGTTATAATTCTATAATTTAGACAATGCTGTAGTTTAGAATTCAATCCATGTGTTTCTTGTTTATCTACTCGAATCTATTATTAATGTGTAGTGTTTGAATTGTTTAATTCTAGAATAATAGGGTTGATCCAATGTAAGCGGTCCATAACTCAACAAAACTTGAACACTACTCATATTTTCTCTTACATTTAACTATTAATTATTATTTTTTTAATGAGCTTGGATACTGGATTTAAACAAATTACTAGTCTTATCAACTGTTAAATTGTAATAACCACCTATTATTATGGGAAGAAAACCGAACACTGTTAAGTTCGTTCATCTTAGCTACAAAACATTCCCATCATTTCAAGTTGTTAGTTATAATTTTAGCGTAATTTTTTTTAAAAGGAGATTGATACTTGTGTGATGTGTACTACTTGTACGGAGAGGTAAAAGTAGTATGTATTAGGAATTGGGAGTAGAATTCTTACAGACAAAATGGGAAAATGAGGAGATGAGAAAGGGAAACAGAAAGGAATCGAAACGATAACAGGAATGGAAGATCGATAGAGTTTGTAAGGGTCAACTCAAGGAAGATGGGTAAATAGTGTATTTAATGTGTTGTTGTCATATTTTTCAAATGCAATATGTGATTTTGTATGATACAGTAAGTTGGTTTACTCTAACCAAGTCTTCGTTCATTACACTTGTACTTGTTGCAAGTATGATCCAGGTAGTACATGGAACATCTCTGTCGAATTGTAAGCGAATATCATAGGTTATATATCCACTTAAGTCATACGTAATTTCTCCTTTCCTCCCTCTCCGCGATAATGACGAATATATAGTTGTCATACTGACAGAAAATACTAGAGGTCTCTAGAAAGCTGTTTCAAACCAATATGGAACTACTCAGTAATGCACTTCCACAATCTCATCAGGGATTAGACCCAAAACGTTCAATTCTCGAGGTTAATACTAAACACTAGAACCACTGGTTCGGCATCCAGTGATACACTTCCAGCTCCAATCAACTTGTGATATAGAATGACGTTAATCAAATCCCTAAATTAACAGTTGTTTTACTAGCAATATGTTTAAACTTCATCAGCCACCACTTCTCAATTTGTGATGAATACAAATTACAAAGTAAACCATTCTTCCCGAAACCTTTTTTAGCTATAAACTATGATAGTCACCTTACTAATGACTGACTTCAAGATGTTCCTGAACTTCTAGTAAAAGTCTTGGCTAGTGGAATCGAGACAGTGATATAGCTTTTATCAATGACATTTTGTGGTCGTCACACTAGTGTAAAGTGATTGAAATTGGAATTTTACCAAATGGTTCCATCGGTCTAGCGTTTGTTTCGAGACCTAAAGCTTCTTAAACCAATCTTTGGCACGATCATGGGTCCACACTGGCAAGAAAACCTCATTTTAGAGCAAAGCAGCTGTTTATTGATCTCTGGTTTTCAATGGTACCTTAAATGAGACCAATCTATGGCGAATACAACCTACAAATTAAACCAATCTCCAACAAATCCCTTCAATCAAAAGAAAAGATTAGTTACTTTCAATGTGTTTACAGTATTAATGAATGTCAGCTAGATTGAGCAAATTCACTTTATTCTTGGAAATTTTTGCTAATTTGTTCCATGAAGGTAGAATAGACGAATCGTTCTCACCTCAAAAAGTTTTGTTGATATATTTCTAGGGAAATAAATTATATTGTATTGTAACTTGTAAGTGTGCATAAAATATACAATTTTGGACAACAATTGAATCTATATATGACCCTAAGTAGATAGCTAACCTATGATATTCACTAACATTCCAACAAATAATGACATTCCATGAACTACCTAGCATGCATATATATATATATAAGTTGCAAGGACGGAAGTCATTATTGTGTGTGTGTGTTTATGTTTGATAATATAATAAACTTTTCCAAATCTACAAACAATTAGGCTTTTATTTGTGTCAATGTAGATAACACATCAAAGTGAAATGAATAGAATGTTGATTTATAAATCATTTCAATTCTTTCAACTGATTTTGTATTATTGACAGACTTTTTATTTGACAAAATTGCGCCATCGTATACCATTGTCTTCAGTGAGCTGATATCTCACAACAGACATGGTTGAACTCTACTGGTGACGGCTTCTCACTAGAATTCCAAGAAATGCCTCTTGAAGTCAGTCATTAGTGAGCAGATGATTATTATCAGAATAGGTTTTGTGGAGATTTTAGAAATTTCACTAGTTGAAATTATGAGTCAATTAAAGCTAGGCCACCATGGAAAACCTGGAAGCACTGGAAGGCCGTTTCGTCCTAGTATGGGACTCCTCAGCGGTGCGCATTCACGATCCCGCCTCCTGCGAGATTCGAACCCAGGACCTATCGGTCTCGCGCGCGAGCGTTTAACCATTAGACCACTGAGCCGGCCGCCATCCAATGGTGTTACTGTCTAACTTCAACTAATCCACCAAATTGCGCCACCGTACACCATTGTCTTTAGTGAGCTGATATCTCATATAACAAACTTTTCCAAATCTACAAACAATTAGGCTTTTATTTGTGTCAATGTAGATAACACATCAAAGTGAAATAAATAGAATGTTAATTTATAAATCATTTCAATTCTTTCAACTGATTTTGTATTATTGACAGACTACTTTTCTATTTAATTTCAATTTCATGAACATCTATCGAAAATTGATATAGTCCAAAACTGATCAACTTTTTATCTCCATTGAAATGTAACTGTTTCACTACTGAAAATCCATCAACTTTGTATCTTTGTATTCTATTGCACAATATTTCGGTATCTTTTTGTATAGAGTATGGAATTTCTGTTTGGTATTCAGCATTTTCTTGTGTAAATCATCCATTCATATAGTTTGATGACAACATAGAATGTGGAGAAATTAGTATTTTATGTGGTACGTAAATCAGTCTGTCTCAGCGTAGAGCCTGATACGTATGTATATCGGTTGAAGTTGCTATACCCCATTAACACCGGGATGAAATCGTTTCAGCAAATCTCAGCAGCATTAGTAGTAATAGAAAAGATTAGGTACTGGCTGAGGTACTAGAGATACGTTTCAAGGAAATATAAATTAATGAAGTAGAAAAATTATGAAGAGTTGAGAAGTTTAGAATCTGGAGAAATACAATGAATGGATGCCACTGCAAATTATTTTGAGTCATAGCATTAAAAGCCTCCAACCACTTGCTATAATAGTCATGTGGACCCCAACCAGGTAGTTTACAACTATTAACATGACTCGGTTCAATTTTCAATGACTTCGTGGACAGATGCTGTGTTTTGGTTTGTCCACCCTAGCTTTTTTTCAGACTACTGTTATTCCAGACAGCATCGCCCATCGAAGTAAACTGTGAAGATTTGCTACCTCATCATTCAGTTTTTCATCCTTACCTAATAGCCCTAATTTGTGGTCCCAAAATACTTGGATAATGCTTCGAAAACACCCATGACGGAATATTGGTATCCTATCAATGTCCTCTATTTTTAATGGCCATGGTACGAAAATGACCTAATGAAGAGTAAAACGAATTAGACGCACAGATATAGGAAGAAAATGCTTGGCATCAAGTGGTATAAGGTTTCATTTCTGTTTCTATTCAGGGGCAAGGCATATCCTCAATTTTTGTGAGATTTCATTCATGTCATTCAAAATGGTCTCTGTGAGTTACGTAGACTTAATAGCCACATTAAAACTTGATCAATCCAATTTATTTAGTAATATGGTTTGGGTAGTGATCTTGATCATTAGTCACTGATCAATTGATATTACAAATCTGCAAATTGGAGTTTTGTTGGTACTTTCTAGATTAGCTTCATTTTAATGTCTTTCAGTAAAATTTTGGAAGGAAAATTATGACCTTGTTGGAAATTTGAAGTCAGGAAATTGGAGGTAGTCGATAAGGAACTCTAGGGAATATCAGCTCCCTTAAGATTGTAGGTACGCCTCGGTGACAAGTGTTAACTATGACATGAAACTACTTGACAGATCAACATATCGCATGTGATGTTAAGTCACTTAGATTTGTGGCTACATTGAGACTTCATTGATAGTGTTCAGTCAACACTAAAAGACTAGATAAATGTGACATTAATCACTATTCGATGATCAATCAATTATAGAGCCGAAATTATTAAAGTAACTATTCATCACAAATTTTTAGCTTTTCTTTGTCTGTCGTTTTAATCATTTACAAATTGAAGGCTTATAATAAAGGAGACGATTTAGTGATTAGAGCATTCGGCAATAACAGTTTCACTATGTTAGTCATACAGTCCTTTACTTGTTATTCTTTGTTCTTAGTTTTTGTTAAAACTCACGACTTTCAAAAGAAACGTTCCTTTTTACCATTATTGTGGAACAGCACAGTAATTTTCTTAAGTATCATAGTTGCTGAACAAAGCTCATTCCACTTAAATTTGACGAATAAAATCTGAAGTTTATTTTATTACGATAACATGATTATAATTCGCATTGTTAATTTCACTAATCTGTTATGTTACAAAAATTCTACTGAATATCGTCTGTGAAATATTCAACGATCTGTTATGTTGTATTCAACAGGCTACATCATAAAGATGATAATTGTTTTTCTGAAGTCATCATTCTATCCTATTATACAATTCCAAATAGAAAAATACAGCTGTGAATAGTTGTGTTTTGCATTTTCCTTAATATAAGGAAAATCATTAGATAACAATCAATAAAAGCGTTCATTTGTGAACGTGTTATATCCCTATGTGAATAATGAATGGTAACTTTTGGGATCTATTTATGGACCAATACTATGCGTATATTTTTATCGTATAGTTGTCAAGTAACTAAACTGTTCATATTCATGTCCATCTTATTGTGAGCTTTATTTTGACCTACGAACTATTATTATACAATTTACCATTTTTTGAATTATTCCCTGTCTATTAATCACTACCTCCCTCATTCACAGCCACATTTGGTTAATTCTTGTACAAATCTTGTTTCATATTTTATGGTACGGTGTGGTCTGTCTAGTTGGTATATAAATCCAGTATGTTTAAAATACGTGATTTATATCGTAGAGGCTGAGATTGGTATTCTGGACTTAACTGGCTGAGTTAGACAGTAAACAGGAACGATAAGTACTCTAGATTGCTCGTACAGTTTTTATGCTTTACTGATCTGATCTATAATCCACTGCTCTCTAATTTGCGGTATCGTTACGTTATACATTAACAGAACATTCAAGGCACAAGTTATAACAGAATGAATGTTAATTTTTATAAAGATACTACAATATTTTACATAAATCTATATTTTCACTTATCTTTATACACAATTATTTCATTTGTATTATATAAATGGCACATCATATTTGAAATTACTCTAGATTGATTCCTAAAATAACACCATTATCACCTAATGAGTAAGTTTCAATTCTATACTTGTGTGTATGGAATTCGATGGGAAAATTGTATTCATTTTTAAATTTTTCCTGTAAATGTATTGTCCCTGTAACTAGTTTCTGTGTATGGTCGTTGTAAGGGTCAAGGTGTTTATTGTTTGTTTTTTTTTTCCTTTTAAAAATTATTTTCACCATTTCTGTCATGTAGCACTTTGTGTTCAGTATTTTTTTTATTTTTATAATGACTTTTTTGTGGTCGTCACGCTATAGTGTAAATTGATTGAAATTGGAATTTTACCATTGGCGTTCAACCAAATGATTCTAGTGGTCAAGCCTTATTTATTTATTTATGTTCTCATGAACTGAAGTCAGTTGAAGAAATATTGAAGACTAAGTATCACTAGGAACACTTTAGTAGTCATCACCTACAAGTTCATATCTGATTGAATTATCGTACTTTCAAGTCATATAACGATCACTAAGTTGGTAGATAATGATTTTGTTTCTCAATGTCAGTCATTCAGTGTTATAAAGCGACACTAATCCAGCATCATAGTTGGCATTGTTGGTTTTTACCAACTACGGCTTCTCGCTGTATTTAATTGATCTTTCTATCTGTCGTTTATTTTTATGGTTTATAATGATTACTTCATTTTATTTGGGGTTTTCACCATAAACGACTATTGATGATTACAAAATACTGAACAATACTTTTACTGTTGTTTGATAAACACTGAAAATGCGAAATTCCCATGAAATCAACCCTTGGACTGCATAGAGAATGAATAGAGATAAGTCAATGAGTCATAAACCACTTATTAGTTAACATTTCCAACTTCGCCCCCAAATGCCCTGGTACGGCCGAGAGTAGGAAGAGTCCGCTCTCCCTCTCGAAATGCTCTCACATGGCCACGCGTATACAGCCTTTGCCAGGGAAGTCCTACTGACTGCCTTCACGTGGCATTACTGTTGTTTACGAAAATGAGAGGACGAAAAGCGAATATCCGGCACCGGCTCTAACCGGATCCCAAACCAATGGTGCACATGGGCTCCAGTATCCTGAAGGAACAAATGGCGTATGAACCAATTATTGGTCACCGGCTACCATGGGACTGCATCTCCTTACGATGCTCCACTGCCTTGTGGATCAGACGTTCAGGTCAAAGGCTCAGGGTGTGGCCCCCTAAGAAAACCACCTGCCTCGGTTTGAGCACCCGGGCAGTATCACAGCCCTCACACAAATCAATTGAGATTCGTGTGGCGCATATGTATTTGGTGCCTCCTTGTACCAATACCTATGTGTTAAAATAAATAAATAAATAATTTCCAACTTCAATGTAATGTTTTCTGATTTTTTAGTAGTCAGTTCATAATGAAAACTCATTCCTACTTGAACTAGTCTCCATAAACTGTTCATTTGTAATTTATGAGTATCAGCTTATTTATTTGTAATGTTGTATAGCAATATTTTTACATGTCTCCACCATCTTACATGTCTCCACTTAATCTTATGTAAGGTGCACAAAATGAATGTTGATTTTTTTTAATATGTGCTCAATGATAATTGTAGTGAAATTGTTTACTTCAAATTGTTGGTTTGTTTGTTATTGTAATAAGTGTTTACTATTTATTCTTATCCTTTTTTATCCCCTAAAAATAATTTAGTGAACCTGGTCAAGATCAAGTATTATTATCATCACAGCCAGATATACAAAAACAACGTCAATCAGTTTCATCAGTTACTGGTAGTAGAGGTAGTATTTTTGAAGCAGTTCGTAGAAGATCTTCACTATTAATGAATCGGTAGTTATTTATTTATATATTTATTTAGATTATACAATATTTTGTTTCGTTTTTGAGCTGAATACCATTTAATTCTCTCTAATCTATTTCAGTAGTATCTAATCAGTTGATAATCCTTGTTTGGTAAAAGTATAATATAATGACGTTCTTGGCGACTTATCAGCCTATCATGAGTCTCTGCCTAGTTATAAAACGGTTAGCAACATAAACTAATGAAATTATAGTGGAATAACAGCTTTGGTCGTAATAGTTAAGCTTCACAAGTCAAATTATCCCTTGTAATAAAGAAAAAAGGGCAAGTTTATATATATATATATATATATATATATATATATATATATATATATATATATATATATATATATATATATATATTAGGAGTCAGGTTAGTGTTATGAGTTATGATTATCACCCCATATAGTTTTTCGTCACCGGCTGACACTAGAGATCATGCTAAAATGGTAGGTTTAAGTATTAATAGTCAAACTGGAGTTATGAATTAGGTTCATAATTTATAACACGAACTGATATCAGCTATAATTCAATGCCTTGCCACCTTCCTGTTTATAAACTTAAAAAAACTTAGGGTTAAGATTTAGAAGGAGAGTAAAAAAAATAAGGAGAACATTATCTAGCTCCACAAAACACTTGATTACACAATAGACGACATGAAGTACTTTAACCCAAAATCTGTCTCAGAAGCAAGTAATTTATGTGATTTAACTGAAGCACAATCTATAATTCACTTTTACTTTCTCGTATGACATATTTTTATTGATTTTAAACATTTTTAGAACCGAATATTTACCAATTATCACTTGGCTAATAATAACATGTTATCTATTACTTCACTGTAAACTTCACGTAAAATACATGAGGTATCATATTCATTCTGATTGGTTAACTCTAGGCCATCAGTATTTTATACTTATGCCGTTTTTCATTTCCGTAGAGTTTCATATTCTTACGTAACCTACTTACCACCAGTTAGTATCACTATCCTATAAACACGTACATGATACTTAAACACATGCATAATAATAATAGTAATGAGTTCTGTGATTTTGAGTATCATGTTTACTCTACTTTCAAATTCAGCATTTCCAGAGGCAGTAGGTTAATTTGAATCACTTAGATATCAGTCAGTCCGTCAGTCAACTGCAACGTAGGACCAGGCACGTATATGCGTCGGTCCAAGTTGCCATACCGCATTAGCACAACAAGATGAACACCAGATTCATAGAAGTAGATAATTCAGTGGTGGTAATATATAGAAGAAAGATTGTGTATAAGGATATAATACAGGAAGAAAGAATTACTTCGTAGAAAGAAAGGTATAAAGTAATTTTAATTTCACGGTTTAAAGGAAGACAGAGAGTGTATGCACATACGCCATTGTGATCGATTCTGAGCCATGTCACCAAGAGTCTCCAACCATTGGTTACGATAGTCACGCGGACCCCAACCAGGCAGTCTGAATCTAGCAACATGGCTCAGACCAGAAGTTAGTGACTTCAAGCACTGATGCCACGTTTTGGTTTGGCCGCCCCTAACTTTCTTCCAATCATTCCTAACACCGGTTAGCATTGCGCGTCGTGGTAATCGGTGTTCAGGCATACGCAATACGTGACCCAACCATCTAAGTCGATGAAGATTCATAACCTCATCAACTGATTTACCATCATTCCCTAATACCCTGCGTCTAACCTCACTATTACTTACTCGGTAATCCCAGCAGATGCGAGCAATATTTCTGAGGCACCTGTGGTCAAATACTAGTAACTTACGAATATCTACTCTTAAAGGCCATGTTTCGCAGCCGTATAGTAGAATCACTTAGATATAGGCATTCTTCTCTTTGATTAGTGTTAAGTTATTTCTTTTTCCTCTGATCCCTTTCATATATGTGAATTTCATTGAACTGTACTGTAGGTTTGTGTTCTATACACTCAGGAAAAATTGTCATATACGATTTAAATCATTCGTGTAACGAAAGGTCGTAAACTTTTCATAAATGCACCTGAATGGGTCATGCGATGAATAGCCATAATGATATGTTAAAACAAACAGCAAATAGATAACTTCTTTAAATATCTTGATGGTAGGGATAGGTTGCCCAGATATTCAGGCAGGTCGCCTGGCAATATATACTATTTGATGCTTTTAAATTTTAAGTGGTTTTCCAGCCAATATCACTCCACTATGTCAACAACCGATGAACCTGATTGGGTTGTTTTGCAAGGAGTAATAAAGCGATGTGATGTATGCTACTTATGTAGACAGACTTGTCATCTAAATGTTTCTTCATCCTAATATCGGTATTGACGCAAAAATTGAAACCTTGTTCCAATCGCTTCAAAAGCCAACACGTTATCCACTAGGTTTATGAGTTTAAATGGCAATTATAAACTTATTCGCAAGTCTTCTTATTTTCTCGTTTTTTTTAAATCAAACTTTACTTGTGACTAATGAGCTATACCGAGACAGTTTTTTCAGAATCCACATATGCCAACAGAGAATAGTTAACTTTAGCCCTTAATATAAACATCATAGAAATACATACTCTATCAATAACGATAAGCCAGATCATAGGGATAGGTCATATATAACTCCTTGTGTTATTTTTCTTAGATAATTTGTCAATTTATCAGATTTTCAATAGTTGAGATAATGAGTCACCTGAAGCTAGATCACTATGGAAAACCTGGAAGCACTGAACGGCCGTTTCGTCCTATTGCGGGACTCCTCAGCAATGCGCATTCACGATCCCAACAGCGGGATTCGGACCCAGGACTTATCAGCCTCATTTACGATCGCTTAATCTCTAGACCACTGAGCCTGCACCCCTTCTGATATTTATCAGATTTTGTTTAAATGATAAAACGTGTACAATTAACTGAATATTGTGCATAACTGAAATTATGTTAACTGTGAAACATAATGTAAATGGTTTTATTCAATTTGAAGCTGTTTTATTGACATCTCGTATATGATTTTTTAACTTATTATTAGTATTATTAATGACGCACTGGAATGCAAAATCATAATTAATCAATAAAAAAGTCACTTATCTCTATGCATCTCTTATGTATAAATGGATATAAATGTTCCTACTATAAATAACTGATAACATATGTATATATGTGATTAATTGAGCGAGATCACAGGTCTACGGTGTTGATGACTCTTTGCAAGCACGAAATAAGGCTTCCTACCAACTATCTCCAATCAAAACATAATGCATATTGTATTGTCGTGCTTAGTAGTGGGGACGTCGAAACTTGATCGATATAATTCAATTGGCGCTAAGGACTAGACGTATGCTTGACTTCAATCAACGTATTTTGTCCTAGTGTTTAAATTCGTTTGATATTCTACTAACCACCACAAATTATACTACTCTTCGATAGTATTTTATAATTATAACATTCGTATTTACTAAGTTGGTACAGATTCATTTGTAAAGCAATTAGTATCGATGTGAATTTTCATTAACTTAGGTAATTGAGATACATAACCTCCTCTCTACATGCTATACTAGGTTCCATAGAAGTAGTTTGGAAAAAGACTAAAGGCAACTAAATCTATAGTATAGCATCAGTCCAGACGGTTTGGGCCATGTTCAGAGATGTAGACTTTTTTTTTGAACCTTGGGAAATGATTGCAGACTTAACATGACATGGGTCGAAATTGGATGACTTTATCACAATAGGATTCATTCTTCAGTCGTTTTTTTTTTAAAGTTTATTATCATTTCATACTTTTAATTCTTCAATTTTACCATCTTTAAAAAACATTTTTCTTACCGCAATTGATTCTATTGTTTACATTAACATTTCTATTTCATTTATATTCAACAAAGTAATATCCTTTGACAAATGATTCAATAATGTCAAGTAATTTTAAATAGGGTAGTAGTAGTAGTAGTAGTATAATGAAGACTTTGTTGTATGCATTATGCTTAAATTTATCTAACTAATAAAAGGGGAATTAACATATATAATCACTTAAAGAAAGTACAAGAGATCATGTTGCCATAGTGATAACTGGGCAAGTTAAGAATTATAAAAAAGTCAAATAGAGTAAAGAAAATATTAAAATGAAATATATCAGGATTTAAAAAATAGGACATTGCAAATATGGCCATAAGATAATGCGCAATTATACACTCTTTATACTGTACAATTTATGATATCGTTGGATTTCACCTTGTCAACATCTTCAACACAGTTAATACCAACAACTATGAATTTCACGAATCAATTTAATGGATTGAACCGGCCATCTTCTTCCAGGGTATTTCCCGTTTTGCAATGAAGATTTCCAGCTTAATCGTTTGCTAGTATAGTTAAAGCTTCTTCAAATAGCTACCTCAGAAATAAGACTAATTACAATAAACTATAATTACTGATCAATACGTGATTAAAGTAAATCAGTTCTCTGGCGAATAACACTGATCTTTGAACTGATGGATAATGAGTTCGAATCTCGGGAAAGACTATCAATGTGTATTTCAGTTCACAGTTGTCTGGTAAATCGATCTGAAAATGTAAAAACCTTACATTATAAATTATGCATCAATTGTATTCCTCTCAAAACATGACACAAATCCATGAAGTCGCTGAGCCATGTTAGTGTAGACTACCTGGTTGGGATCCGCGAGATGGTAGGAACTGATGTTTAGAGACCTTGAATGACATCGTCCAAAATCGTTTGCAATGGCGCAGGTGCATCCACTCTTTATGTTCTCCCAAATTTTAATCTTCTGAATTCTTCGTGTCCCGATTTTTCTCTTTCCAAATTTATTCCACTGAATTATACTCTTTGAATAACATCTTCAAAACCTAATGTTTCCGATTACTGTTTATACTTTTAATACCTCTACCACTACGGGATTTGAGTCGACAACTGTATCTCTGTGCTAATGTATTATGGCAACTCGAACTGATGTACGTACGTACGTACGTAGTTCTACGTTTCTACCGACTGACTGACTGATA